TTCATCTCGTATCTAGAGTACTAGTACTCTATTGCCCCCCTCCCACACCGCGCCCTATTAATCTCGCCGACGCCGATACGTCTGTACGTACACCTCGGCAAAACTTCAACGTATAGAATGGATGATGTTATGATTCTCGGATACGCTAACGCAAAACCTTTTAGTCAAAGAAATGATATCAAATCTGCCGGATGTCTTACACCCGGTGAGCAAACGTGACCAGCATAGCCTCAATACGACATCACCATCTTGCCATCTCTGCATCTGTGCCCACGCCCGACTACTATGGCAAGCTCAACCAAGAGACCTGCACGTCTGTGAGCTGCTAGATTGGGAACCTCTCTTCGAGGACTATTAATTCGCTACTCATAAAATACCGTATTTCATCTAGTTAGTCCCTTGCGATGTAGAAATCTCCGCGGCACCAGCGTCTTCTCTTCGATCCTTTGGGCTCCCCACGATTGAGCTTGGCCCTGGCTCTGAACCCAATGCATCGTGCCAGAGAGGCTAGCGGCTATTTTCCCGCCTTCTTCCGTGCCTTCTTCGTGGCCGTCGCCGGTGACTTCGACGATGCCTTTTCCGATGATTTCTTCGGTGCCGGCATCGGTGGCGTCACCGACTCTGTGGCCGGTGCTGTGGTCTGGTTTGTTCCCGAAGCCTCCGCACTAACTATTCCGTTCATCCTCCTTTCCACATTCTCCTTCTCTTTGAGTGCCGCGTCTTTGAGGGCCTCCTCTAGATAGGCCTTTCTCTCATTCCCGGCCCAGAGGTGTATGCGTATCAGTCTATGTTGCAATCGTCGTGCGTCTGAAAAATTATAGTAAAAGCCCTCCAAGAGCTTGTAGAACGAATAGGTATCTGATAAACGCCTATCATTGGCTGGCCCATGTGTCCGCTAGCTTCTCCAAGCGATAAAGAGATTGTACACATAAACACTCATACCTAGCGCGAACACGATGTTTTTAATGTTCGGAAGGACATGGGAGTTGGCCTCAAGTGCTGGCGCAACCCGCGCATCCGGCAGCTACAGTGGTAGAAGCCGTCATGGCCCGTGTTTTCCACGATAAGATACGGGAACGCCAAAGCCGCGGTCGGGCATAGTTGGACCAAATTCCATATGTTCTCCACCACCGTGTCGGCGTAATTGCTTGGAACCGTCTTTCGAATGAGCAGATCGAGCCAACGTTGTACCATCGCCACAATGAAATTGGGTCTAGGCGGACTAAAACTAATCGATGGGGAAAAGTTCTCGTAATGTTCAGCCCTGATGGCCAAGTTGATGACGCTATCGATAGGTATCAAGCAAATCTAGGTTGTAATAGCTTTCCCGAATAGACCGTAAAATCAACCCGGCGTTGGCCTTGTATACAGCAGCAACACATTTCATGCCTACCCTGGTGGCAATTGTGTTCTGGTTTGAACGGCTTGCCCTAACATAGTCACTGTGGAAAGTATTGAGCTGGGCGTCGAAGCAGACGAGAGAGCGAACGAGATCGAGGTCAAGTACCCGCGGCATTTCCGCGATGCTAAGCCCAAAGTTTATTGGCTCACCCGTCGGGAGCTCGACTTCGCCATCCGTCAGAAGCTCACCAACTACTAGAGGCCGGGAGACTTGGTCAGCAAGGGACTTTAGGTCTTGTCGGAGCGCTTCCGTGGTTTCCATATGATTACAGAAAAAGAAGAATTCCGGCCCGTAGGTGGTAGCCCTTTGGTCAGACGACATAGTTTCATCAGACTCGCTGGAGCCTTGTGATGAGTCTGTAGATCTGACGGAGCGTCTGACGGAGGGGACCCAAGCAGCTGGGTCTCTGGTACCTCCGCTTCCAAGGCGGTGTTGATGGGTTGATGGGGTGTCGCCTGGTCCTCGAGTAATTGATGGAAATCGATCGGAAATGTCAGGTCTTCGGAATAATCACAATTTTGACACCGGTGCCGAAAGGAGAGCCGACGCGGTTTCTCCCTAGGCTCCTGGTAGTCAGGTTCGTCGTCTTGAGCTCTTTTTTTCTGGCCGGAGGCGGCGGTAACGACTGTGAAGTTACGGGAGGGCTTTTAGGGCATGGTGACTATATGCACGATGAGTATTATGTGTTGGTGACTTGTCAGAGAGATTTGGCAACTTGTGGCATGTTTTAAATATCAAAATCTTCAAAGTTAGGACAAGAATTATATAGGCGTTAGCTACCTAATCTATATGATTGGCTTTGCGAGCCTAGGAGTAATATCTTTTGTTTCGCCACTGATGCCGTGTTGCTCCTACTGATTCTTCAATACGTTCGAACCTTTCAATAAAGCTCCAGACTCAGAGAATTAGTTATCAAGTGGCCTGTGAGCGTACCAACAACAATGTCTAGTTTTTTGAAAAGAGTTATATTCGGGTATGTCGGGCTGAGTAGACATAAGACCTAAGGAGCTGAGATATTAATTAATTTACTCTGCGAGCCTAGGCTGTTGCAGATGCACTTTGATTAAGACATCTGGTCTGGGGGCACAAATCCGTAAAGCACGTTGGCGAGACACGAAAGTTACTTCATAAGATGACGGTTATCTCTTACTCTTGGTTATTGACTTTGATGCAAACCCTAACTTCCAAGTTGTATGCATTCTTCCGTGTCTCGGTAGGTAAATACCTAGGTAGTCAGCATTGATATCTTAATGGTCTCGAAATTTCAATACTTAATAACTAGCTAGACATTCTCCGTCCGATTAATTTACACGGTTATTAAATAGCTTACTGAATTTACTTTCGTTCGTGATGGCCACGTTAAGTATATGTTCCCAATATTCCTCTTCCGTGGCTTGCATTCTTAGTTTGGAGGCGTATTCGACCCGCGTCCCAGTAACGCCACAGGAGTCCTACCTCACGCTATTCATGATAACGAAAAGCCAACATCGATAAGAGACACCCAGAGCTTGGGCACTACGATCAACGCTCATCTACGTGGGAAACATACCCTCGCATCTTGCTTCAGTTCGTGGGCGGCGGATATCGGCGTCGCGATTGGCTCTTCTACCAAGGGAAACATTACAAATCTCGATACTCTTCTCGTAGAAAGTCGCGTAAAGATATACCTTATTGAAGCTATCGGGGAGCTTCAGCAGGGACGAGTTATACATAGAATCTTCATGGGTACAGCGGCCGCATAAAATAGCGCTTTCTGCTGGCGTATCGGCTTGGGCTCGAAGTTGATGTCCTCAACTGAAAAGTGGTGGCGAGCTGCGGAGATTAGTAATGAGTCCTGCGGTGCGTATAATGTCATGCAGTACACGTACCACACTCGTCCCTAAATGTTTGGAATGTTTCAGCATTCCGGACAACGCCTGCTATGATAACGGTCAGCTTCGGCCTCATGTCGAAGAGACTCTGAAGTGTTGCCACTAGGGCAGTTATGGCTATTTTATCGTATGTCTGGTGTCTGAATCAGCACTGCCTTTCTTGTCCTTTTCAGGTTTGAAGTTGGGTAGTGCGGACTTACAATATCGGCACCGATCACAACGTCATATGGGTGGGCGGCACAATCATCTTCGACCCAGGTTCCACTAAGATCGTGACCCCATCGTAATGTTTCCGTCCGCACCTGCTGCCGATCTTCAAGGTCATTCAATTGGAGATTCTCTCTTAGTGATCCGATCACTCGTTCGTCGCCATCCGTGGTAGTAACATGTTTTGCCTGCAAGTGCTTCGCCATGAGAATAGAGAGGAATCCCGTACCGGCCCCCAACTCGAAAACGTTCTTGCCACGAATGAGACGTGATCCATCCTTGGTAAGAAGGTAAGACGCAAGGTGAAGCGACCCCTCCCAGGTCCGAAAACCCGTTGTTCGCGAGCCCGATATCAGGTGGCGCCGCTCAAGTATTGTTATCATGGGCTCCGAGGCATTTTCGTGGCCGTCGTCCGTGCCTGCCGCCTCTGGTATACAAGTAAACGTTACGTAGGCCTTTTCCAACATTGCATCGAACTCTGATGGTACTCCTTTACTCATGAAGGACGTAAGGCACGTCATGATCTCATTCGAGATTTCCTGCGGGATATTAGACACTCGGGCAAGAGGGTGTACGAGAGATTTGAAAGTTTACATCTTCATATGGATCTTCGATTGCGTTCTCAATTTTGCCAACGAGCTGCTTCAAGACGCGCATCTGATATCTCTCAGGCGGCAGCCTCGAATTTCGAGTCGGGTCGAACAGGTTCCTGTGTAACCATTTCTGCACGTCATAATCCTTGAGAAACTTGGATGGAGGCCACGCGAGGAAGTCGGGCTCAAATAACTGCAGATACTGTCGCCGCAGTAAGAACAGCTGAGGGTCTATATCACCCATTGTATATAGACCTCAGACCTCGGTGAGTGTAGTTGGTAGAGATAGGACTGGCGCTAAAATAGAGTCTAGGTGCATAAAGTTAAAGTATGGGTCATGATTTGCCTTACATAATATTGTGGCTTTCGGATTGTGACTCCCCCCCCTATTAAATGCATGAGTTACACAAAACCCTACGCCTCAAGTATCTGTCCTTACTATTTCATAAGAATCGTTTCCTTCAAGCACTTCATAATCAGGGATCCTTATGAGCCCTTACTCACCGCGGCTAACATGATCTCAAGTCTAGATCTACGGGTTTACCTAACGTGTTGAGCCGCGTTGGTAAGTACCTAGACTATAAGATAGACTAAGAAATGAAAACTCCTCTATAACTCCACTTCGAAGGTTTGCATCCACCACTTCTTTCCTTCAGGTTCGGAAGATGTACTTGAAGGTTAGAGGTCTAATGACGAAATAGGTACTGTTCAGGGATTCAACTAGCCTGTCAATTGGAATAACGTATTGGATCACATATCAATATGATAAGACCCCTTCTTTCTCTTATGTCGGGTAGAAAGTATAGTCATGGCGACTTCCAAGAGCAGGATTGGCAGAGAGGCCCACTTCCAACGTTAGAACTTTGAACATTTATGTAATTCCAGGCGTCAAGTGTTTCATCCTCAGAAGCCAATGTATAGGCCAAGTCTCGATTCGTCTAGTGGTTAGGATACCTGCTTGTCATTAGACTAGGTCTTATGACAGGATTGAAACCGCAGGTGGCCGGGGTTCAATTCCCCGATCGAGAGCGCATTACATTTTTTCCCTCTTTTCTCTGGTTCGTTCCCCCCTCCTTGCTTTTATTTGGAGTTTTGTCAATGATAGTTGCTCGAAATGGTTGTTGTTGAGACTTGAGGTATCCCGTCGCACGTATGAGGTAACTACACGTGAAGATGATCGAATATTTGATGGGTGAAATTATATATTACAACGACAATGCTATAGATGTGCTACATCGTACGTGTCATTTTACCGCCCTATAAAATGTAATTCGTCCCAAAATCCAATAAGAGGTGATAGTCAGATATAAAAAACATGACAATAAGCCATTCATTACTAGAATTTCCCAATACGTAACATATTCAAAGTGCATTTACTAATTATAATCTCATTCCCCAAATAAACCCTAGATCATTTTAACTTAGCAGCACCAGAAATGACAAAGGGGTCTCGTAGAACCAGCGGTGTATATAACAACTACCAGGATGAAGTTGTCATTTTGGCAGACCCATGACGGTTGGCTTTCGGTGGTTAACTCTTATTGGTAGGTTTGGTATTCGTGGAGGTTTCATTTGGGTACGATTTTGGAATGATATGTCACATCAAGCAACCAATTCCGTACTTAGTTCTCCAATAAGTCGCACTCTCCCATTTCCCATAAGAGTCCAGGCTTTTCAGCCTGCATGCGGTGTCACCACTCATGCCACCGGCAGTGGGCTAGCTTCAATAGCTTACCTGGCCTACCTTTCGTAGGATGCGATTCATTCGGAGCAAGGTATTCCGCGTAGTAACAGCAACGTCGAGGGGTTCATAGGATGGCGAAGACATACCCAGGGGGGTTCATGGGCAGGGTGGGAATTTATGACTTGTGCTCGAGCGCAGCATTTGGATCAGTCGGACCAAAGGGCTGCATCGAATGTAAACCGAATCGCAACAGCGACGACTACTCTTAACGTAGGTTGTGTTAGTTGCCGTCGTGGCTGCAATCCGACATGGCTCCGACAGGTCGGCCGGCGGGCGTCCTGGCACTATCTTTCACTCTAATCGCGGTGTCAGCACCGGTCCTTTACCGCTTCGCATCCCCATACTTGACTTTCCTCGAACCGTATCTCGAATCGCTTTCTCCATCCATCGCGAAGACCTCAAGTGCGCAGACGGATTACCTGTCTTCATCCTCGTTCAACTGTACCCCCCACACCTACACGACGGAAATCGTGTCGCTCGACCCGCTACTCATCTACATCGATTCGTTTCTGTCGGCGGCCGAAATCGACGCGCTCCTCGCAGCCGGCGAGCCCGCGTTCGCGCCGTCGCGCGTCTACAAGAGCGGCCGCAACCAGGACACCGCGGACCGCACGTCGTCGTCGGCGGGGCTGGCGCGCGACAACCCGGCCGTCTCGTGCGTACTCGCGCGCGCCGAAACGTTCCTCGGCACGCTGTTCGACCCCGCGCGCGACGACATCGGGCCTCCGCAGCTGGTCCGGTACACGGCGGGCCAGCGCTTCAACCGGCACCGGGACTGGTACGAGCGCCCGCAGCCGGCGCGCGAGGGCATGGCGGGGCGCGGCCGGTCCTGGAACCGCGTCGCGAGCTTCTTCGCCATCCTGCAGGACGGCTGCGCCGGCGGCGAGACGTGGTTCCCGCTCGTAAACGCGACGACGACGACGACGACGCCTGCGAGAGCGAACGGGGCCGGGCGCCGGTTCTGGAGGGCGCACGAGGATGGCGGCTTGGCGTTCCGGCCCGTCGCGGGGAACGCGCTGTTCTGGGTCAACCTGTTTGCGAACGGGACGGGGGACGATCGGACGGTGCATGCGGGTCTGCCGCTGGAAGACGGGTTGAAGACCGCGATGAATATCTGGCCGCGCAAGTTCTATGCTTGAGGGGAGTCGGCATGATTGATAGTTATCTGTTCGCGTTTCGATTCACGGTCGAGATGTCATATAATACTATCGCACCATATATCGCTATCGCGCCATATGTCACCCGTAAGACTGTAGAGCCTACATCGTAGCCCGAAAACCATGAATATAAAGCTAACCTAGGAAATTTCGCTATTGAAGAACGAGGAGATTCTTGGCTCGTACAAACTGGCTTCCGTTCGCTGATGCTTTCAAGGTGTTGATTAGGCCAGAATTCCGGTGTTCCTACCCCTGCCACTGATAAGACGGGAATAATTATGTAATTACAATTGGTTGTATCCAGGTAGTCAGTGCTTCTTTTTAACCAATCAACGCTTTTTTTGGATTTGCAAGGTATATGATTACCGTACCAAGACCTGGTGAGAGCAATTAACTGTTTATTTTACATTAATCGTTAACAAATCATTCGAAGATTTCTAACTATTTGAAACTTTTTAATGTTTATTTATTTTTAAATATTTTAAAGAATAAATTCCTATTTTAATATATATAATAGCTTAATTTCTTTTGATCTTATATACTTATATATATTTTAATTGATTTTTAATAGCTTTGGTAATCTATATAAAAAAAATTACCCTCCCATCTTACAATCTTAAATTCTCTCTTTCTATTATATATACACATAAAGCCACATATACAAAGCCATATACACAAAGCTATACGCAAAGTAAATCATATGATATTAATTACGTAAATCTATAAACTTATAATTGTAATTTATAATTATAATTTATAATTATAGCTTGTAATTATACCTTATAATCGTAACTCATAGCTCGTAGTTATAAAAGCTCTTGCAATCTTATAAGAGCTTGCATAATTTAACTAATAAAACCTGAATTCTTACTCCCATTCTAACGCCGGCTTAGCTAATTTCGATTACCCGTTAGTTCCTATCTACCCGTTAAACATTTGGATTCATCTTAGACGTTTAAATTATTTCCTAGCGTTATAAAAATTTAACTATATTTTGATAAGTTATAATTTCTAAATGTTTGAATAATTTTAATTGTAATTTAACGGTCAATTGACAGTTAATTGCTTTCACCTAATCTTTATACGGTAGTCTATCTACCTAGGTAAAACTTTTTTTTTTTTTTTTCTTTTGGAAATGGAATAATTTTACAACTCCACCTAGTCAAGCTCAAGCATCAGTCTCATTTCCACTCTCCTCGAGTTGCCCTCGATTGAGCCTGGAATGGTTTCGAACCGGGCGCGTCTTGCCAGAGACGCCAGTGCCAACGGTGAACTCTAGCTTCTCTTTCGATGCTGTTTTTTGGCGTTTTCACCCTTCTCAACGCCTTCTCCGGTGCCGTCGCCGGTGTCGCGGTTTGGTTCGTATCCAGACCGATTGCAGCATCCCGCCTCCGAATTAAATCCTCTGCTTCCCTCAATACCTTATTCTTAAGTTCTCCTTCTATAGCTGCCATTCTCTCACGTGTGGCCCAGAGGTAGATTCGCATTAACGTGAAATGCAATTCTAGTACTTTGTCGGGTAGGCCCCAGCATACCTCCATGATTGGTGAAAGCTTATAACGAGGTTTTTTGTTTTCATTACCTGCCTCTTCCCTCCAGGCAATGTAAAGACGGCACATTGAAGTATCCGCTGCCAGTCCAAAAATGACATTAGAGTCCTCCAGGTAATGAGCGTTGGCTTCGAGAGCTGCCGCGACTACTCCACCGAGTTGGTGAATGGCCTTATTTAAAGGTTGCCCGACCTTCTCTTCCATGAGGACAACTGGAAATATCAAATCCGCGTCAGCACATAGCTGAATTTTATTCCATATATTCTCCAACACTTGAAGGGCAATGAAGTCATTGTTCACCGTCTCTTCAACGAAATTGACAAGCCATTCTTGTGTTGTCCCTACGATAGAGTCAGGCCTGGCGGTAGTTAAGATATCTGCGCAGAGAAATTCGCAATAAATATCCCTCCTCACATGCAGGTTAGTAACGCTGGAGAGAAACTGCATCTCTGGGGTGCTGTTGCTGTTCCGAATAAGCTGCAAAAATGCTTCGATAGCGGCAGCATCTGTAGGGATGACCTTAGCTAGCATTGTATCGAGTGTCGCTTCGTTCATGTCTTTATTCTGTATCCTAATTAAGCTATTTGCTAACACCCTGAGCTGAAATTGAAAGCAGTGGAGAGACTGAACAATATCTTTGCCGTCTGTCAGAGGTTCCCCAACTTTCAAAGGCACCTTGATTCTCTCAATGAGGGGTTGCAGGTCCGGCCGAGGCTCCGACACGTATGTAAGATGATTGGCGGCTAGAGCGCTGTCGTAGATACTCGTCCCGTGAGCGAGTTTGAGTCTTTTAGTTGCCCCGGTGGCAGGGGAGGCTTTCCTCTTGCGAGGCATATCTTAGTCTTCTGTACCCGAGGGTTCTGATGAGACCGAAGATGGGGTACCCGATCTAACGGAGTGGACCCAAGCACCTGGGTCTCTGGCGCCGTCGCTGCCGCTAGCCTCGTCTTCAGAAGCTTGGGGATTACCAGGCTGTCGATCGATAGGTTCGCTCATTGGCCGATGTTCCCAGACGAGGCGCGCGAATGTCTTCAGCAGCGCGAGGGATTCGGGCTGAGAGAAATATTTGCTAGCTGGGAAATTAATAGCAATACAACCGCCCTTTGACTAGGTAGACTCACCTCTGCTTCCAATGCTAGGCGGTGTTGATGGGACTGATGGGCCGTCGCCTGATCTTCGAGCAATTGATGGAATTCGATCGGAAGCGCCAGGGCTTCGGAATAGCCGCAATCTTGACACCGATGCCGAAATGAGAGACGACGTAGCTTCGCCTTATGTTTCTGATCACCGAGCTCGTTGTTTCGGGCTCGTTTTGCTAGTCTGGGGACCGAGAGCGGTGCCAAGGATTGCGAAGTTCTCGTAGTTTTTTCGTCAGCTACTGCGGAGGACCGTGGTGGTTGTTTTGGTAAAGGATGCTTGCGGCCGAGCCGTTGTTGAGGAGGAAGGGAGGCCATCGTGACTATATACTACACGGTGAGGATTATGTGCTTAAGGGAATTTGCAACGGCGGCGTAAGACAGAATGGGCAGCTTATATTAGATACATCAGATATGAGTGCCTTCTGAAACGGACAAAGAG